TTCCTGGTGCCTGACATGGAGCCCGAAATCCCGGGGACTGGCAGCCTGATGTTCTCTATGTCGGAGCTTCAGGGTCTGTAAAATGAATGAGTCACTCTGATCGTCTACTCTATGCACATGCTGTGCAATGTCAGGGAGTTGCAGGCCGCTCTTCTTCCGTGCAGTCGTTAAGTGGCTTGACCTTTGTGTGCCATAGTTTGCCCGTCTGGAGAACAAAGGCAGTAACAGTCCCTGTTGTAAGGTGGTAAGGTGTCGGCAGGATTCTGCTGTGAGGGTAGATGCTAAGGGCAGCATCTCTGCTGCGTCTCCACTGACCCCCTCTTCTCCCCTCTGCCAACATCATCGCTTTCTCAGGGGGTGCTTCCCTCAAGTCAGGCTCGGCCCAGAAAGTTCCTTTAGCCCCAGACAGTTCCCTCCAGAAAATGGGTGATTATGTGACAGGAGAGGCACCTACAGAGACTGGGGCTCAACTTGGATTTTTTTCCTTGATCAGTAAGTATTTGCCAAGGGCTTCTGTGTGCCAGGCATCGTAGCGGGTTCTGGGGACACAGCAGTGCCCTTATGGAGCCAGAGAGACAATGAACAAAAACGTTAATATAGCAAATGTGTGGGGTAATACGTGCTATGAGGAACAGTAAAGCTGAATAAGAGAGTAGACAGGGCTATTATGTGGGGTTGGGGTGTGTGGGGTGGGATATGTGACGGTGTGGATGTGAACATGATTTTTGACCTTTGGTCAGGGAAGGCCTCTCTGGGGAGGTGACATTTTATGTCTCCACAAGCAGCAATACCTATTTTCCAACTCGAATATGGGAAAGGCCTGGCACAAAGTAGGTGTTCAATAAACACAAGTGGCATGTCAGAGGGACGGGCTGACGGGAGGGAGATGCTTCCCAGAAGCTCCCAAATCATCTTTTCATGAGACTTCATTGTTTGCTTTGAGAGAAATTCCCAAACGTGAGCCATGTATGTCCACGTGTGAAAGCCAAAAATATGCTTCAGAGTGGAAAAAGCGTGACATTGGATTATCTGTGTTAACGCGCAGGCTGATCCCCTGACCTGGCGATGGGCTGGTCTTTGTCATCAGCTCTCCCCAGAAAGTTGTGTGCTCATTCATTCATTCACTCATTCTCTAATTATTAATGGGGCACCCGCTGTGTGTGCGGGGTTCTGCTGGATGCTGGGTGCATGGGGGGAACCTCACAAAGCTCTGTGGGAGGGGCAGACAGTGAACAGGTATTTACAATGGAGGGTGATATATGCAGTAAGGGGGGAAATCTGGGGCTCTGTGGGAGCACACGGGAGGCACACCTAACTCATCCTTGCAGGGTGACCCTGAAGGTGAGACTGGATGTCTGAGGAAAAAGCCAGGGAAAGAGCAGGGCAGAGAGAACTACGTGCAGGAGGCCTGAGGGCGAGAAAGGGGACCCTGGGGGTTCAGCTGGTTTGAGTGTGGAAGCAGCAGGCTGTGGTGTTTGGGGGTGAGCAACCTGACTGCTGGAGACTCAACGCAGGGGCTGCCACCGGGCTGGGAGAGGGGCCGGCCTCCGCTCTGCTCCTAAGGTCTGAAGGGGATTCGTGGAGAGCCCAGGTCCCCCCCGGGAAGGTCAGTGGGCCAGAGGATGTAAAGGCACTGGCCTGCTGTGTGGGTGGAATTCTGTCCAGCCTGGGAACCTGGCTGACTGCAGGGCTGAGGCTCCTCTGGCGGGACTGAACTTACTGGGGACTCTAGGTGCGTGTGTCGTCCTGGTTCTCCTAGCTTCTTCCCAGCAACCCCTGTCTGTCTCCTTGAGCAGGGAGGGAAGGGAGGCGGAGGCAAGGCCACGCAAGGGTGGCGGATGGGAGTGGGGGCGGACAGAGGCCCTGTGGACCAGGGGGAGCGGCTGTGGGCCCCTCCTCTGGAGACAGGGCAGGTGGAAGAGCCTTGGCAGCCCCTTAGGGCCATTCCAAGGGAGCGCTGGTTCTGCCTCTGAAGGGTGTCATTCTCGGTGCCAGGGCCTGCTGTGGGCCAGGACTGAGCCGGGCCTGAGGTACCTGGCCCCAGCCTTGTGGAAATCCCAGGGAGGGGGACACCTTTTTTTATCACAGGCAGGCGGCCCTGCCTTTGGACAGAGACCCAGAAAGTGCTGCCAAAGCCCTGGACAGAGGCCATTGGGTGGGACCGCTGCTGACGGGACGTGGCTGGGGGGGCCACCTGGAGCAGGTGCGCGCTGAGTGGGGATGTGCCCTGGAGGCAGCCCGCAAGCGTGGAGGTCCCTGCAGGCACCTGGTGGGAGAGAGAAATCACGGGGCCCATGGGAGCTGGAGGCGGCTTCCCTCCCCGCACTCACCTCAGTGCCCTACTTGCTGGCGTGGGGCATATGTGTGGCCAGGGTGAGGTGGAGGGGCTACAGAGCCTGCCCTCCCCCCGACCAAGGCGCACTGAGCTGCCTGCGCTAAGCCTCGTGGCACCTGGGGGCTGGCCGAACCCTGGTTCCAGCATCCTGACCTGCTTTCCTTGGCGTCCCTGTACCTCACGCCTGGGGTGGCCTGCTGGGCCCCCAGCTCCGGCTCTACGTGCGGCCTCGTAGACCCTGCGGCCAGAGCTACTAGCTGCTGGGCTTGGTGTGGGTGGCGGCAGGGCCAGAGCTGTGAGGCTGGGCCCAGCGCCTCTCCTGGCGGGAACCCAGGATGCCCGGGACCCACGCCTGCCGGGAGGGAAGATTGCTGTGGCCTTTGGGTTCTCACCTGTCTGTAGTATGGCATCCCTCCCTGTTGTCCTGCTCTTCTGTGTGGGTGTATGTGTGTGTGCGTGCGTGCATGTGTGTATGCGCGTGTGTGCACGTGTGTGTGTGTGCATGCGTGTGTGTGTGCATGCGTGTGTGTGTGTGTGTGTGTGTGTGTGTGTGTGTGGGGAGAGAGGTTGATTGTTTGATTGACTGATTTTAATTTCTGCCCAGGACTGTGACTTTGCACTGAAATGTCCACTTTTCCAGCTCCTGGAACAATTTTGAACAAATATGGGGTATATGAATACCACCCCTGAGCACAATTAGTAACTTCATGGTTTATGACCTCCCCAGGTGGTGTGCTAACACAACATGTGATTTATCTTCCTAAGAGTCCCAGCAACTCTCTGAGATAGATACTGGAGAATTATCCCAAATTTATAGAGACTTGTGCAGAGAGGTTAAGCAACCTGCCCAAAGTCACACAGCTAGTAAATGGTAGCTGGAGCCCAAGGAATCTGATTCTAGAGCTTGTGTTGAAATTGTGGCCAAAGGGGGGGGGGGCTCACCGTATCTTCCTGTCAGAAAGTGGGGTGTCCTGTGCTAGGAGCCAGAGCCCACCCAGTTGTAGCCGGACCTCAGTGGGTCCCCTGGGAGAGCAGATGCACATGTCTTTTCCCCGTATATGTTTTATGGGCTCTTTTGTGGGATGGAGCAGAGGATGACTGCCTACCTTTAGGTTGCGTTTCCTTGTTGACCCAGAGTGACCAGGGCAGGCCTTCCCTGGGTGTCCTAAGATGAGCTGATTTGGGGGAGGACCAGCATTCTTGGCAGGGAACGGTAGGAGTTTGCATTGGGAGCAGGTGCATGTCTGGGCCAGCTTTGGGGAGCGTGGCCTGCCCGATTGGATTTGGGGGAAGTAAGCCCTGGTGTTGGAGGGGGAAGGTGGAGCAGGTCACTGGGGGTCTGACCAGGACCCTTCAGGTGGCGAGAGCCATGGAGGGCTTCAGGCCGGGAGCCGGGTGCTGAGTGTGGGTAATGCAGCTGGTTCTGGTCCTGGGTTCGGGCGGATCGGAAGCCAGCGGGCGGGCACCCAGGGAAGCTTCTTGGACTGGAGGTCTGGGGCTAGGCCCTGAGGGTGGGCATGGTTTGGAGAGAAGGAGCACCTAGGTGGCCGTACATCTAGGGGGGGTGGGGCCACGATGTAGCTGCAGGGCCTGGGGAGAGGTCGAGACTCCTGGGAAATGGCTGCCGCCAGGTGGGGGGCATGGTGGCCTTGGGAAGTGGCTGCTCTGGGTGGGCCTGGGCGGGGTGAAAATGCCACGGGAGGGGAGGCCGGGGTTTTCTTTCAAGGGTGTGCGTGCTTGTGTGTTGGGAAGAGGGACTGGCGAGGGACTGGGGCAGGTGACAGTGTGGGGAGGGGGGAGGGCTTGCAGAGGAAGCGGGCAGTCTCTCTGTTGGGCTTCTGCCGTGGGAGGCTGGTGGAGCTGATATCACAGAAAGCCAGGTCTGGAAGGACGGGCTGCCATGTGACTGGCACATTTTCAATTTCTGTGGGGGCCTTGAGATCCCCGCTGGGGCTCATCCCTGATGAGGGGCTGCGGTGTGGCAGAGGTGGTGGTGGAGGGAAGCAGTGCACCAAGGAGGTGGGCATCTGGTCCAAGGAGGCTGTTTATGGCCCAGTGGTTAGAGCCCAGCGCTAACAAGGGCAAGGTTTACACACAGCTTCTGAGGCCGTGTGTAGACCCACCCTGTCTCGACTCCTGTCCCCTGTCCTCAGGCTGAGACCTCCTCTGACCGTCAGCACGGTGGGAGCTGATGAGAGACAGTGGAGGATGCAGTGCAACTTCTCCCCAGAGCTGGGGGCCCGGCTAAGTGCCTGTGTGTCCCTGGCACCAGCACCGTGTCCAGACATGTCTTGGGTGGGACAGAGATGCTAGACAGGGCCCTCCAGACTCGGGCTCCCCTAAACTCATCAGCCCGGGCAGATCCCCACTGGATTCCCTCTCAGAGAGCCCCTTCAAGTCCTTCCTTCTAGCAAACTCTAACCTCTTAGGCTGGAACAGCTCAAAATCCCATTCTGGCTTGTCTGGTCTCCACTAGAGAGGGAGAATTTCCCTGTGGACTTAACACTGGGGTCTGGGGAGGCGCTGCCCTGGAGTGAAATCAGAGCTTTGGGCAGGTGAGGGGCCTTGTCTAAAGGACTCTGGGGACCTGACTCTCCGAACCAGCCTCCCTGCCACCCCCAGGCTCTGGGGTCAGAGTCTGCGGTGACCAGCTCTCCATCTCCAGGGCGGCGTGGTGGACGACAGGAGTGAAGATTCCAAGTCTGTCTCCACCTTGAGCTTTGGCGTGAACAGACCCACGATTTCCTGCATCTTTGACTGTAAGTGACGTTTGGAGGTGCCTACCGGGGTGACACGGTTGAGTGTGTAGCCTGACGTTCCTGTTTGTGTGGGTCACATGGTCAGGTGTATACGTGGGGGCTGAGGAGGACTGAGTCTGGGTGTTTTGTTAGTGGGTCAGTGTCTCTTGCTTTGTGTGTGTGTGTGAACTCTAAGCCTGAAATCCAGCATTCAAGGCGCTGTGCATTCTCACTGCCCCCATCATCTGTGACCCCTCCACTCCTTCCCCCTCCTCTGCCACCTCCCCAGCTGTCACCAGGCCCAAGGACACATCACTTGGGGGTCCACCTTTGGGCTGTGGTCTGCTCTCCTGATCTTGAGAGCAGCTAACTCCAGCATTGCGTACACGTGTCGTTTCTACCATCCAGCCCCTCTGTGCACTGTCCCCTCTAGGGACACCCTCTGTCCTCCCCTGTAGCCCCAGATCTTGGTCACCCCCAGCCCCTCAGCTGGCATCTGCTTCTTCCTTGGTGCAGACGGGAACCGCTACCATCTACGCTGCTACATGTACCAGGCCCGGGATCTGCCTGCGATGGACAAGGACTCCTTTTCTGGTAGGTGGGAGGAGGGAGGAGAGCCAGGGACCAGGGACTGAGGGCTGGGAACAGAGTCATCGGGCCTTCAGACCACAGGGAACATGGCCCAGGCTCCTCCTATGGTGGATCGGGGGGTGCTGTGTTTGTTGGGTTTGTGGAGGTGAGGGCTGCAGTCAGGTCACCGTGTCCTCCTGGTTGTCAGGTGGCCTGCTTGACCCCTCTGCAGGTTTTGGTTTTACTGACCATCCCCTCCTCCTGAAAGCCCCTCTGGCCTTGGCCCCTGGGACACCCCTCTCTCCTGGTCTCCTGCAGCTTCCTGCTGCCCTACCTGCTCCTACTGAGCTACTACCCTCTAAGCCTGATGCTTCCGAGAGTTCTGTGTGTGTTCTCTTCTCTGGGCACTGGGGTCCCCCAGGCAGCCCAGTAGCCACTCCTGTTGGGGAAGCTTCCAGGTCTTTAGTTCCTTTATGTCCAGCCACATTTTCGATGTCTCCCCTAGAAGCCTCAGAGGCACCTCAGTTCATCTTGTCCAAGCTGAACTCCTTGGGACCCCTCCCCCAGATCCAGGCCCCCCTTTACATCCCACCTTAGTCTTAGTATCATGTCAATGCGCTTCTACTACCCATCAGGTTGGTTAACAGTCAGGTGCCCAGTTCTGTTGATTCTGGCTCCTGAATCTGTCTTGGAGATTGTTCCCTCCTATTCTGCATCGTGGCTGCCGTCTCACACTGGCCTTGCCCCTTTTATCTGAATGCTCCAGTCATCTCCTGGCCTCGCTGTGACCTTCCACACAACCCCAGACACAGCTGCTCATGTCACTCCCCTGATTTCAGACATAGACACTAACAGGTAAATCCCCAACTCTTTAGCCTGGCAGACAACCCCTTCGTGATCTGACCCCTTTGGATCTCACCAGTTTCATCTTTCCCTAATTCCCCTCTATCTGCTAGCTCTGGCTGCACCAACTTTCGTCAACGTTTGTCTAGTTCTTCCACATTTCTGGCCTTTGTGCTCAGTGCCTAGAATGCCTTCCCTCCCTATTTTTAATCCAGTGAACTCCTACTCATCCTTCAAGACCCAGCCCAGATGCTCTCTGACTCTTCCCCAAGCTGAGCTGGTTGTTGCTTCCTCAGCACCTGGCCAGGACCTCACCAGCACCTCTCTCAGAGTCCTTACCCACTGCATAGATCACTTGCCCTCTACCTCTGTCATATTCTTCCCGCCATGACTCTGAGCTCCTCCAGGAAGGGACCTTGACTTACCCTTGAGCCTGCAGCAGGTTCTAAAGAACTAGCACTTACTAAGTGCTCACTATGAGCCTAGGCGCTTTGCTGACGTTTTTTCATGTATCCCTTACAACTGTCCTGTGAAGCAGGCATTGAACATCCCCATTTTACAGATGAAGAAACTAAACTGCTTGAGTTAAAATAGCTGACAAGTGATGTACCCCACTCCAAGTGCTTGCTACTTACTTGAGTAGACCTGAGTTCTTCTATGGGAGTGACCTCCTGTTCACAGGATGGCACTCAGCTCACGGCCAGGCGCCCGTCCTCCTTTCTGGACCCTGCTCCTCCCCGACCCGGGGACAGCTGTGCTTCCTCGTGTTCCTCTCCTCTCAGTGACTGTTTCTCTAGCCCCACGCAGCCAGGCTCAGGGTGGATGGAGCAACAAGCACATGGGGATTGGCAGGTGGCGGGGTGTGGGGGGTTGTGGGAGTGCGGGGGAGATCTCTGCAGCTGCAACTTCCTGGGAACCTTGGCCAGGATGCTTTCTGACAATCAGCACTTACCCCAAGGAGAAGAGAAGTGACCTAATTCACAGTCTTGCTTCCTCTTCCTTCGGGGGAGGGTGTGAGAGGTCGGGGTGCAGGCGGCAGGTTTGTGTGTGTGGGGTGGGTAAGTGGGGTGCAGGTCGAGGGCCCCTTGTCCTCCACTGGCCGGGCTGGGGGTGGACCCTGCAGGGAGGGTGCTCCTCCGGGGGACCCGCACCTCTGGGGACTGCAGGCAGGGTCAGCCTGGTACCGGGGCCGAAGGAGACGTCACACTTTCCATCCTAGCTCCACCCCCTCCCCCAAATAAACATCCCTTGAGCTTTGAGGGCACTGCCCAGGGCTTCCTCAGAGGCCGCTGGCTTCTGAATGAAAGGCCTGATTGAGCGGCTGCTGGAAAGGAAAACAGCAGCCAACACGGGTGAACCTATAAAACCCAGAGTGTTTATTTTCACTCCCAAACCCTAAACCGAAGCAGTTTCTCCCCTGGAACTGACCCTGAGGTGGCTGGAGGCTGTGCGTGGCCACTGGCTGGCATTTCTCAGAGGAAACTCCTGTGTGAATCAGGAATGTCTGGGGTCTGGGGAGGGTCCGGCACAGAGTCTGTCGCTGGTGTCGTCTTCCAGCCTGCTTGCTGGCGTCTGCAGCCCAGAAGGCTCTCCTTGGGAAGCGCTCTGACCTTGCTGCCCTGGGCTTTTCCCCAGCTGGGCCCCCATGACCCTGTGCTGTGCCCTCTGCTAGTCCCTTGTGTGGTGGGCCTTGGGGCTGCCACAAGGCCAGTGCTCTCTCTATTTCTTCTCCTTGGCTGAAGGTGTGGGGGACACAGGAATTGTCCAGGAAACACTTGTTGAATAACACTGAACTCGGTCGGGGAGGGAGGCTTGTGGAGACACTGCCATCCAGGCTGCCTGAGGATTTTGCCTTGGGTGGGGTTTGAGTGGAGGCCCGGCATCAATTCTCTGGACCACTGGAAGGGCGAGTGTGGCCTGTGCTTGTGTGCTTATGAGTGTGTGTGGCCAGCATAGTGATTAGGTATAAAAAATGTGAAATGATGCTTAATTCAAATGGCTCCTCTTACATTGGGATAGGGTTGCCACTGCTGGGTGAGCATCTGGAATACAAACTGGATCTACTTTGAACAGAAAAGACAGGACTCCAGAGGACTTAGAAATCACTTGTCCTCAGTGCCGTATCTACTGGGCAGCATTGTGGCTGTGAACAGCGGTCAGAGCTGAGTTGCTCTTCCCTGTAGACGGATATTTCTCAAAGGGGATCGGGGAGTGCGCTGTCTCCTTTGCCCTGTTATACTCCAGGGAATTCTGCTTTGCCTCGACCCCCAGCCGGCGACCGCCGGTGTGGTTTGAGGGAGCCATAAGCTCTGCTTACAGAGCTGCCGCCAGGAGGGAGGACCCTTGGGCAGCTCACATTCCAGGGCATGGCCCTTAGCTTGAGGCACCCAGAAACTCCTCCTTGAGAGTCTCATGGGTCAGTGGGCTCAGGGGCCCCACTTGGTTAACGAAGGAGATGAGAGAAGGCTAGTAGGTCAGATGCCAAGTTATTCATTTATGGGGGTAGAGTGTCTGCCAAGAAAGCAGAAGGTCCTGTGCCCTCTTTGCCGGCCTCATGGTTCCAGGGAGGTCAAAGCTGTGTGCTAGTTGGGTGGTCCTGAGGGGCGTTGCTGCCAGGCCAGGCCACAGTGAGGTCTGGTGAACCATGGTTGGCCCACAGCTGAAGTCACCTCCGTGGGGACCAGTGCTTTCGTCTACCCCAGATCCAGACTCTGGCTTGGGTGGGGCTGGGGAGCCCTTGCTTGTGGGCTTCCTCTGTCTGGACTCCAGTCCGAGCCCACCCCCTCTTCTGAAGCACAGCTTTCTGTTAAGTTTGGCTTTGGCTGGGGGAATTCTCCCAATGAGCTTAAGAAGCTGTTTTCCAAGGTGTGCTGGAGGCTTGTGAAATGCTCCACTTAAAAAGGGTTCCTGAGCGAGAGAGACTGGGAAACACTGCACGCTTAGCGATTTACGAATCACGGGGGCATTGAAGGCTGGGGTGGCTGCAGGAAAGGAGTCTGTTGAACGTGTTTAGCGTTCCTTCATTCCCCAAGAACTCGCCTTGCGAAGAGCACATTTTGGGGAACTCTGATGGACAGGATTCAGCCCAACTCGCTGAGCGCGAGTCCAGGACCGTTTGTGATCTGCCCGCCTGCGTCCTCTTCCCTGGGGCCCCGGGGCGCTACCTTCCTCCCCTCAGACAGACTTGCTGTTCCCTGAGTGCTCTTTAGTGCTTTTGCCAGTGCTGTGCTGCATGCCTGGCCACCCTCTTCTCTTTGGTCCACCTCGGTTACCTCCTTATTCTTGAGACTCGGGGTTGGAGACCGCTTTGGGGGTACTGACTTGACGCCACCAGACTCCAGGGCGTACCCCCACCCCTAGCGCCCTGAACGCTCCCCCGTGAAGCTGCACATCGCTTTGTATTGTAACTGATGTTTAGTTAACACTTCCAAGCAGCAGTCATGATCTTCAGAGCCCGGACCGTGTCTCGTACACCTTCATATTCAGAGCACTGTGCCTACCTACCATATGCGGGTCAGTCAATAACTGTATGGTGGACGAATGACGGATTGCAGGTAATGCTGGAGCGAGCATCTTTGTTCATATAGCTTTATGGTTCATTTGGATGATTCCCAGAAATATGGGAAACAGGGTGTAAACAGTTTTATGTTTTTCAGGTCATACTGCCTGATTGCTTTTCTAAAGGGTTGCTGAATTGCTTCCAGCAATAAAGGAGAGTACCTATTTCGTCAAATATTTGCCAACACCGGGTTTTATAAATCTAAACAATTTTTCTTAATTTTATAGGAAAAATACTGCTGTATTGCAGTTTTTGTTTGCAATGCCTTGATTACCGGCAGTCTAGTCCACCCTGTCTTAAGGGCCCTTTTCCCATGTTCGTGGCAGGTAGAAAGAGCACTGACCAGGAGTCAGGGAGTCTGGCCCCAGGCACCTGTGAGTAGGGGCTGGTGGTCTTTCTGGGGCAAAGCTCCCTCTTCTGACGAGGGGTATGATGACAGCTGCCCTGTGGTCTGAGCATTTGGAGGGAGGGCCCATGAGGGAAGCTTAGCGTATTATGACTGCAGAAGGGTCCTTCTTGGAGCTCCGGGAAGGCCTGAACAGCAGAGATCAGGCACAGGGCTGCCGGTCCAGCAATCACCTGCCTGGGGCCTCCTGTGGTGATGGAGTCCAGTAGAAGAACCCTTGTGTGTTCTTGGCTGGAGCTCCCAGGGCAGCCTGTGGTCCTCACAGAGCTCCGATCCAGCTTCAGTGCCGGGGGTGCTCCGTGTGGCTTGGCAGGTGAGGCCGGAGGGCTGAAGCTGGCCCTCCCCTACTGGAGTGGCTCTGGGAAGAGCTGGCCTCTCCCCTCCCCTCAACCTCTCCTTGGGATCTGCCTCTCCATCCTCCTGGCTTTCCTGGAAGAGGCTTGTGTCTGTGGGTCTGTCTGGCTCCCCTTCATCTGACCACCTTGCTTCAGCAACACCCCACCCCCCTTGTTTCTCTTTTTTTGAGGGGCTGGGCCTTGTGCGGGGAGAGGCCAGGCCCCAGCACACAGTAGCCCAGTGTCTGAGGCCCCAGGCCTCCAGGCCTGCTCCTTACAATGCCTTTGTTGTGTGTTTTCCCCCCTGCCCCGGCGGGCGGGGCGAGCGTGTGGGTCTGGGTGATTTTTGTTTGAAAGCCACCCCCTCCCTTTCCCCCAGTGCTGAGCTCATTGCCTGCGCTGATGGGGCTGCTGGAAGGAGTCGCCTGCTCGGGGGCCAGCGTGGGGGGCGCTGCCAACACCAATACAGCGTGCATGGCCGCCACAATGTGCAATTGTGATCTTTGTGTAAACGCGGTCGGTCTGGGGCCCGCGCGCTTATAAAAATAAAGCCTTGGGAAGCACAGGGGGCGGGAACAAAAGGGGCTTTTTCGCTGGCTCTCGAATATGGTTTTATTTATCGGAACGCGCCCTCTTTTTCTTACTGGAACCGGGGAGAGGTTCTCTGCCGAGCTTGGAGCTGATGGTATCACAGCCAGACGGTTTCATTAAATGCACAGACGCCGCTGGGCCCTGCCAGGGCCAGGAAGGGAACGGCTTGGGCCAGCCCTGCCAGGCTGGTGCATGGGAAAGGAGAGCCCCATGCCAGGGAGGCTCCCACCTGGTGGGCGTGGCAAGATGTGGTGGGCATGTCTCCCCTGCCCCTTCTTCTGCCAAGGGCCCCCCATTACCCTCTTCTACCTCCAGAATCAGGTTCAAAACCAGTTTCCTACAGGAAGCCCTCCCAGATTGACCCCAGTTTGTTTTTGTGCCTGAAGGCTGGCAAGCTGGTCCTAGCCTGGTGGCGGCCTCCTGTTGGGCAAACCCAGCACTGTTCGGCCAGTGAGTGCCCGTAGCTTCTGTTTCCTAACATGAATCCCGCCCCCCCCCCGCCCTTAAAACAAGCCCTTTGGGCAATAGCCAGAATCCTGGACCCTGTCCCCCACTCCATCTCTTGATGGAAGTCCTCCTGTTGCCCACTCCAACTTTCCCACCTCTTCAATAGCCACTCTGCCACCTCCTGTGCAGTGGCTGTGGCATGCCACTTGGACTCTTGATGGCCAGGGAGAGACTGGCCTGCTCCCCTCCCCTCTGTGGGGAAGAGCTATCTCCCCATCTCAGCCCCAGGACTGCAGTTGGACACCCCGGCTCTAGATGTCTGGCGCTGAGGCCCTCTTGAGTCACGTGGGGGCTGCCCTGGAGGGTGCAGAGGATACAAGGTGCTACAGGATGGAGAAGCTGCCAAGGGTATAGGGCATGTGATAGAGCATTTGGGCTCAGCCCTGCCAGACATCTAGCATCCAGCTGCCAGCCTCCTGCATCCCCAGACTTCCCTGTCCACATGCCTGCAGCATCTGGCACGTCGAGTCTTACAAAATGGCAGCAAACTGGACCCTGCCCCCTAATGAGAGAAGTTGGAGGAGCCCCCTCCTCCGAGCCCTTTGCTCTTGTCCCAAATTACATGCACTCAGTCCCATGGGACCTTCTCTGGCATTGGTTTCCAAGTGTAGTCCTGAAAGGCAGCATTAGCAACACCTGGGAACTTGTTAGAAATGTCAGTTCTCAGGCCCCACCCCAGACCCGATGAAGGAGTCTCTGAGGGTGGGACCCAGCAGTCTCTGCCAGCCTTCCAGACGACTCTGCTGCATGCTCACATTTGAGAACCACTGCCCTAGAATCTTCTCTAGTGATGCTTTGGGACCAGGCAGAGGGAATGCCTCCTGGGTGGGTCCCAGGCTAGCATGGCTGGGGCCGATAGGCTGGAAAGTAGTTTGGGGGCATCAGGGAGCTGCAGGGATCTTAGGGTTCCCCTCACACCCCCCCACCGCTCAATAGCCCTTGAATCCCTTTGTTTCTCTCTAGTGCCCCCACCCATCTAAGCCACCACCCTCCCTGCCTGAACCCCTGCAGTAGTTTCATAACTGGTCTCCCTGCACCCACTTCTGCCCCCTCCAGTCTCTTCTCCAGGTGGCGGCCAGAGTTAGCTTGCTGAAATGCAGACTCAGCCATGCCAGATCCCTCTCTCACACGCCACTGCACCTCATATGTGTTCTTCAAAGCATGATCGAAATTGTAATTTTATGTTTGTTTGTATAGATTACCGTTTTGCTCCAAATGTATCCTCAGCCCCTAGCACCTAGCCCCCGGCCTGTCATGCAGAAGGCACTCAGTCAGTAAGTGCTTGTTGGATGAATGAATGAATGAATGAATGCACAATCTATTCATTTTGCCTCCAGCAACCAGCCCAGGAAAGAGCCCAGAAGGGAAGCTCTCTGGATCTTTGCGCCCACTCTCCGGGACCTCGGTCCCATCTCCCCATGGTGGCCACCGGCTGGCCACACGGAAGATGGAGGTGGGGGGGTACCCCCAGGATAGGGCTCCAGCCTGGACGTCGGTGCTCCTGAGTGGCAGCCACAGCTCTGCTCCAGCTTTGTGGCTGCATGACTCCTGAACGGGCGACTCTCACGGTCTCTGTTGTGTCCCGTCTCCCTTTGTGCCTGGCCCACACAGATCCCTATGCAATCGTATCCTTCATGCACCAGAGCCAGAAGACGGTGGTGGTGAAGAACACCCTGAACCCCACCTGGGACCAGACACTCATCTTCTACGAGATCGAGATCTTCGGTGAGCTGGCCAGCATCGCCGAGCAGCCGGCCAGCATCGTGGTGGAGCTGTACGACCACGACACCTATGTGAGTGTGCCTACCTTCCTCCCCCGAGCCCTCACTGTCCACCCCTCCAGGGCCCAGGGGAGATGCTGCTGTGAGGGATGGGTCCCCAACGAGATGGGAGTTCCCCAAGGCTGGGGCTGATGGCCTCTCCCCCAACCCCACAGGCAGTGGTGAAAACTGTTTTAGAGTAATTAAAAATGAATTGCCACCATGTGTGCTGTGCCCACAGCAGAGAGAGGGTACAGATCTGGCAAGGGTGCTTGGCTGTGGGTCAGGAGCCTGGGTTTTCTCTGTCTCTAACTTGCTTATAAGACCCCAGGTCGGTCCCTTCTCCCCATCCGAGGGCTGCTTTGACTCCACACACGGTTATCAAGCACTTGTGCTGGGCTGGGTGGACCCTCACGTGGGGTTCCCCGGCCAGGTGGGAGCCGGGGCTCAGGAACCACCAGGCAGGGACTCCTCCAGGGAGCCAGTGTGAGGTGCAGGCGGGGCCCTCTCTGCAGGGCTGTCGCACAGCACAGAACCGCTTGTGCTGGCGGGAAGGCTCTGTGGTCGTGCCCCCCAAACGAGGGCCACTTGCCGTGTGTGCTGAGAAACCGAATTTTCATTGTGTTTTAGTTTTAATCCATTAAACTTTAAGTAGCCACAGGCGGCCGGTGGCTCCAGTATTGGACAGCACAGCTCTGAAAGGTTCCCGGGAGGGAGAGGGCTGTGGGCTGGAATGTGAGGGGCTGTGGGAAGACCCAGGCCCTGGTGGAAATGGGAGATTGGGGTGTTGGGATGAGGCAGGGGTGTTAGCACAGCACGGGGGGCCAGTGGGAGATGGAAGGACGGGGAAGGCAGGCAGGGAAGGAGGAGAAAGGAGTACGAGGCCAGGGGAGCGGAGAGAGTGGCGGGGTCAGGGCGACATGTTACAAAGGAGGGGTGGGATGCTGTTGGAAGAGAGAGACTGTGTCGGCCGAGGGCTGTGTGGCCAAGAGGCCCTACCTGGGTTGGGGGTGGCAGTAGATGAAAGGGGGAGGGGATAGGGCTTCACAGGTGCTTCCAGAAAGAGTTGCCATGACTGGAAGGGAGAGTGTGGTGACCAGGGGTTGGGGGAAGGTGAGGCTGGTTAGGGTGCCCCACTGGCTGGCGGTGGGCAATGCGGGCCTGGGCTGGGGAGGCTGACCTGTAAGCTCTGCCCTTAGAAGGAAGAGCTGGCTCCGTGGGGGCCGAGCAGCTGGAGGAAGGGTCTTTTGGGGATTTGCGGGGGAAGAGCTCAGGACCTGGAGCTTTTGGGGCAGGAAGAGGCGGGAGGTGGCAGGACCTGGAGGGGGGCCAGGGCCAGGAGACTTTGCAGAAGCAGGTGTGACTGCTGGTGCAGGGCGGGCGGGAGGCCGGCAGGACACAGCCTCTCTCTCCCAGTGGCACCTCACCTCCTCGTTCACAAATGGTACTCTGTCCCCTTTGGGCCAGTGCCCGGGAGGGATCCCGGGGTAGAAAGCCATGGCCTCTTCTGGGTGGGTGGGCCCCAGGGTCCTGGGGGAGAGCAGAGCTGTGCTCACTGATAATGTAGTCAAACGGGGCTGTACCATTGCCCTGAGCTCCTGTTGTCCTGGCGGCCTGGGCTCTGTGAGGACTCCCCTCCCCGAGCCTCTCCAGGACCCAGCGACTAGAGGGCAACAATGGGCCCAGAGGAGCCTCCAGGACCCCTGCCAGTGCCGTGGCTGGTGAGCACTCTGAGTGGCCTCTGCTGGGCTGCCACCCGCTGGCGTGGGCATTTATGCAGAAGCTGGTGGCCACTCCAGAATGGCTCTTGGCAATGTCCCCAGCAGTGATGTGACTGCAGGTAGGGATGCCTCCCAGTCCTGGCCTGGGTTTCTCCAGATGAGTGCCTTGGGCGAGCCACCAAGGCTTGCAACAGCTGTGGCATCATCTGGCTGAGACCCAGGTTCTGTCTGCGGCCCCCGCCCTTGGGAGAGCTAACCACAGGGTCGGAGTTCACCGGTCTGCAAGCTCACTCTATCCTCTAGTCAGTGGGGAGCCATGGAAGGCTCATGAGTAAAGGGAATGATAAGATGAAAACATCATTTTAACAAGACTCATTTAATTTGATGAGCATGATCACAGTCTCCCCATGTGGAAACTGGGGGGATTTGAAGGTGAAATGAACAGGAGATACAAATTCCTGGGAAATGTCAAACACCTCTCCTGCTGAGGGCATTGAAGAAATGCTAGGAGGCTGTCACTCTCGTGTCCAATGGGCTTAGAGCTTGATTACGTTAAGGCAAGGTGAACGCTAGTTGGACATACAAAGGGACTTGTGGAACATGATGGGAATTCAGCATTAACAACAGTGGCAGGAGGCCACTCTCATGCTGCCCTCGCATCCCCCTACGGGAAGCAGAGCTCACCGTCTGCACCAGGGACTGCCCTGACTTCTGAAGCCCTTCCGAGTTTGGGAGGCCAGATGGAGGTCTGGTGACTGCTCTGAGGCTGCCAGAACCCTGGGCTGGGGGACGCTGACTTTTCTTTCTCTATGCTCGGTCTAGGGTGCAGATGAGTTTATGGGACGCTGCATCTGTCAGCCGAGTCTGGAACGGATGCCCCGGCTGGCCTGGTTCCCGCTGACCAGGGGCAACCAGCCGGCGGGTGAGCTGCTGGCCTCTTTTGAGCTCATCCAGAGAGAGAAGGTGAGGCTGGTCCACGTCCAGATCCAGGAGGCCCGGCAGGGAGCTCCTGGTGGTGGAGGGTGAGGGCCCAGGTAGGGGATGGTCTGATAGAGGGGAGGGGGCCTAGATGCATTCTTCTTCCCCCACCAAGGGCCTGCACTTAGTGGAGAGCACTGAAGGGCCACCTCTGCATGTGGGGCCCTCCTGCTGGAACCGGTCTTGCCCATCTTTTCTGAGCCCCAAATCAGGACACAATCGAAGATTTCTGGGGCAGAAACCTGAACTGTGTTACTATGTCTGAGTCCTCTGGCCATTGGACGTATTTTTCTCTGGGTTATATCCTGACGTGGTTTCTGGAAGGGGGACCTCTGTGATCTGGCTAGGGTGCTTGATTGTCCGGGGCAGGGGACTCCAGGGACAGGTGAGGGCAGGACCCCTGTTGCAGTGCTGGTTCTGCCGTAGCCTCAGCCAACCAATTCCCTGCCGTAAAATAAGGGGTTTGGATTAGAGCCCCATCTTCAAACTTGCTCTTAGTGTGATGTGAACCCTAATATGGAAGCCGGCTAGAAGTGAGGCTACTCTGGCCGAAGTGTCTGGAGGGGACACGGCATACTGCCAACCTGGCTTCCCCTGCACTCGCTTACCAGGCACCTCCCAGGAGTCCCTAGTCCGCCAAGGAAGAGTCTGCAAATCCCTGGACTGTCTGATCACAGACATATTCCATGAGTGTCATTTTGTGGTTGGAGATGTGTTTACCTGGCCAGGGCAGAAAGGTGGTGGGGCCTTGGGTGACGGGCACCTAACCAAAGCTCTTTTTCTTCACCCAGCCGGCCATCCACCATATCCCTGGTTTTGAGGTAAGTCTCGCTCTCACCTTTGCTTCTTCAAACTTGCCCCCTCCTGGTGTCTGCAGCCCCCTCCCAGGCTAGGAAGGGGAGCAGGCGCACACCAGCACCATCCTGCCTTCAAGCCAAGCAAGGCTCGGTTGGGGCCGCAGGGGCAGGGTGGGTAGGGGCTGGGGTCCCTGCCCAGCTCTGGCTTCCCTGCCCTTCTCCCCTGAGAAGTCCAAGAATCACAGACTCAGATGGAAGGGACCTCATGGTCATCCAGCCCAGTGGCTCTCAGCTGGGCTGCATGTTGGAATCCCTTGGGCAGCTTTAAAAATCAGCAGTGCTCAGGCCCCACCCTAGACCAAGTGAAATCCCATCTTTCAGGGTGTGGCTCAGGCCTTCGTATCTTTCAAAGCTGCCCAGGAGGTTTGAATGTGCAGCCTGGGCTGAGAACCATCGACTTAGGCTAGTGGTTCTCAGCGTGGCATCACCCGAGGTATTGTTAGAAACGCCAAACTTGGGTCCCACTTCAACCTGTGAAGCCAACTCTGAGGGCAGCACAGAAACCTGGGCATTGTCGAGCCCTGCAGGGGATTCGGACGCGCGCTCACGTTTCAGAGGCTCTGATTTAGACCGTAGTTCCCAACTCAGTGTTCCCACTAATATCCGGTTTTATTTCCTCTACTAGTTATGGAGACGTCATTCCCTTTGCCCTGCTCCCCTTCCTTCTCCTGGGGGTCATGAAAAATGTAAACCTTTTACTGGTACCCAGGCTAATTTGATTCAGGAATCCTCAGCCCGGCCAGGCTCAGCTGCAGCTTTGAGAAGTGGTCGTTTGGGCTCTGTTTGGGTGCTTCTCCCCTTACGAGGCAGGGAGCCCAGGCAACCTGCAGACAGTCCTTACAGTACAAGCCCTCCTTGCCCCCTGCCCCCACTCCACCCTCTGCCTCTCCTCCCACCCCTTCTAGTCTCTCTCCCTCTCCCTTTCCTGCTCCCTGTGTGCTCCAAGCTTCTGCTCTCAGCTCTGCCAGCCCTGGGCATGTAGGTTGCTTCTCCTTGGTTCTCCAAGTCTACATCTCCAGCAGTGGCTCCAGGGATTCAGGCCTGACTGCCTCCTGGGGCTGTTACACAGGGTCTGGGACCTTCCCAGCACCTGTCTGTTAGTCATTCTCCTCTCTCCTGTCACTTCTAGAGATGCCTGGGCTCCAGGTTTATGCTTTGGCCTCTCCCACCACTCCCTCTGCATCAACGTTTGTTGTACCTTCTTTCTCAGGGACCACGTAGAGGGCGCGTCTGGGAAGCACATCACCCTCACCCTAGATGGGAAGTGGTTTCCGTTTGCTCCTTGTAGGGAGACATCTGGCATGTTGATCTCTGCCCCAGCCTAGTTGTCCTTGTCACTAACGGTAAACTTTTACCCTCCTTCCTCTCCTCCCTCCACCGTCTCCTGGATGTGGACTGTCCCATGGTGTGGTCCAGGTGCAGGATACATCAGGGATCCTGGAAGAGGTGAGCTGGCCCCTCACAGCTGTGGCCTGTGGCTGGGGATAGGTGGGCAGAGGCAGAGGGAAGATGAAGGCCATGCCCTGGTGTCTTCCTGGTTCCTGGTACTCCAGTGTGCCTCTGTCACGTGGACCCCTGTCTGGATTTAATTTCCCACACTCTGCGTGGATCCAGGGCTGCCTGGGGTGTGTCCTGGTGTGAATCTGGCTCTTAGGTGGATTGCTGCTATGTTGGAAGCCACATTTGCCCAGACCCCTGGGACAGCAGGGGTCTCAACTGGCTGAGTACCAAGTGGCATGTTTTCAAGAATAAAATGTTCATAAGGGGCCAGAGTAGTCAAGGAAGCCTTGCTGGTGGAGGTGACGTTAGCCGAACATTGTCGTAGCGCTTAGGAAGAAGGTGGGGAACGTGCCTCTGGCCCAAGGGGCCAAGCACCAGGTTGGGGCCTGGCTGCTTTAGGGAATGGGGCAGGCTGGGGATTCCTAGCTTCTGGGAGAAGTTTGGGGTTTGCATCCAAATGGAGCAAGGCTATGCCCTTTGCTCTGCGGGATGAGAAGCCCATTTCCTTATGGCCTCCTGCACATCTGTGAGCAGGTCCTCAAGAGTGAGCAGAGGCAAAGGCCTGGGCAGAGAGACAGGAAGGAGAGCCCTGGTCAGATGGGGGTGGGAAAAGGGCAGCCACTTCCTGCCGTCAGGGAATCCCCAGGCTGCGAGCGAATGCCATTTGACATTTTCAGTGCAATTTGGACTTGAAGTGCAGGGTCAGGATGTGGGATCCGCCGGCCCCGCGCCCCTTACCTCACTTCCTTCAGCTCCCAGACCGAGGTGGGGTCCGCCAAGTGAGCTGGCCGCAATTGGCTCTGACAGGCAGCCTCCTGCTTCTGGCTGCAGTTGCGAAAGACTGCCGATTTGGAAAGGGGACCAGAGTCCTGTCCAGGGAAGCAGCACGGAGCCCTCTCTCTTGATTGAGAGCATTCTGTGGCCAAAACCCACAGCCTGCTCTGAAGAAGACCCAGCCCAGGGATGAGTTATTAAAAAAAGTTAAAATCCTTAATAACTGGATTTGTAATATATAACAGTGAAGGCTCAGATTCCAAGAGCAGGGATCTGGCTGTGGTCTTGTTGTCAGGAAGCAAATCAAAATCTGCAGCTTTGGGGCCAGAGCCTGACGAGGGCCAAGTGCCCTGCTGCAGGGCCAGCCGGCCACAGGCTGAGGCGGGTGTGGGTCAGCAGGGCCAGAGGAGAGCAAGTCCTGGGGGTCTGCTGGGCACAGGGCTGGGCCAGCACATTCAAAGGGTCCCAGGCCCAGTAGGATGGATGGAGGATCAGCTGGTCCAGGGAACCGCCCCAGAAGGTGACCTGGTGACCCCTTCATCCCCAGAGGGCTCCCGCCCAGGCCCTGGGGCCCATAGCTCAGCCTCTTTCTTCCCCTGCACTTGAAGGCTAAGACTCATGCCGAGGTCCTGCGTCCTATTTGGTTTTAAGAATCCCCAGGGGCGGGGTGGAGGCAGGTTAGTCTTGCTGCTGCTGCCGCTGGTCCTGCTGGAAGCCTGACGCCTTAGCAAGATTTTTCTGTCTTCTTTGCTGCGGCCGAGCTCCTGCCTGGTATCCCTCATTCAGCCCCCTCCAGACTCCCGGCCTGATCCCTGTGAAGGGCGCTCCAGCCATCCTGGAGGGCTTTGAAAAGCCATGCCGGGAGCTTAGCTTCTGGGCCACTGGCCACAGGGGCCCTCAAAAGGCTGGGAGCAGAGAGGACAGATGGGTGTGTTAGGAAGCCGTCTGGCTGCAGAGAGGTGTGGAGTGGGGAGAGAGGGGCAGGAGAGACCAGCTAGGAGGCCTTTGAGACAGATGTGGTGATGGGGGCCTAGGCTAGAGAGGGAATGGAGAGGGGCGAGTGACTCTGAAGCATGGTGCAAGGACGGCCTCTTCGGTGGGGACTGCCTTCCGGCCAGCACACAGCCCACGCCTGTGTGGGAGACAGTGTCATGAATGAGGTGAAAGGCATCTACCCGGGCTGAGCTCTCCTAGAGCAGATGGAGGACAGTAGGGATGGCTTCCTGGAAGAGGTGACTCTGAGCTCTCTTTGGGGGTCCAGGTGGCAGTGCCTCGGGCTGGGGGTGCGTGTCACCGCGTGGGGCCAGTTTGGTGGGCAACAAGATTTCCCCTCCCCCAGGCTGTTTGCCCACCTGGAGCATCCCTCTCCAGGGGCTCTTGGTTGGGAAGGGGGACTGTTGCATTGTGTCTTTGAGGCTTTGGTGTCTGGGAGACCTGGGTCCTAAACGGGTGGAGGGGAGGGTTTCTTTCCAGCTCCCAGCCTGTCTTTCTGTCTGTCACTTGCTGTTTCCCCTCTTCCTGAGCCTTTCTCTTCCCCTTGTCCAGCTCTCCCTTCGCATTTCCCTTTTCCTCTGTTTGCTCCTTGGCCCAGGCTCCCTCTCTCTCTCCTTCTCCCCGCCTCTTCTGAGCCCTCTGTCTCGTTTCTTTTCCTTTTTGTCTGGAGAACAAAGGCGATCTGCGCTGCCAAGGGGAATGAGTTCAAAGAAACTGCAATTTTAGATTTCCTGAGAAATGGAGAGTGCACAGGCATGTGTGAGTGTGTGCAAATATGTATACTCACGAGAGCATGCACACGTGCACACACACACGCACAAACGGCAGAAGAGATGATGGCAGATTCCTTAATAATTGAGGGCTCCTAGGATGTGGAGCCTGTGCAGAGGAAGACCCCATCTGGGAACCCTTTAGGTGGGAGCAGGGGCTTGTGGTCCTGAGCACCTAAGGGGGCGTGGTTCGGAGTATCACCCTTGGTTCTCATGCTCCTGTCATGCTCCGTGGAGTCATGCCCTGGTTGAAAGGAGAGCGTCCTCCGTGGCTTTTTTGCTGTGAGTTGGGGGCCAACCAGATGTCACTCCATCCCCTTCCTAATCCAGGCAACAGGCTATGGCTTTTAGTCTGAGATGTACATGAGGTACTCTCCTGCACCCCCAAATCCTCCAGAAGGAAAAATTTGGTGTTTTGCAATCAGGAGAATAAGCCCAGTGGTCCCCCATCCCCCTATCCCTCCCCCAAGGCTTTAATTTAAAACACTGTTTTTCCTGGGAAGTGTAATTAGAGCAGCATGCTGTTCCTAACGAGCTGGGTGGGGCAGGCAGACAGTGGAGCCCTCCCAGCCCGCCCGGCTGCGCCCACATGGAGCTCCCCGCGGAGCTAGGATCTGAGTGTCCAGAGGGTCACCTGACTGTGCCCTGCTGTGTGAGGAGGGGGTCTGTGGGCTACTGGTGGCAACACTGACCTAGGTGGCTGGAGGGGCCTGCCCACACTTGCCCCAGTCCTGGGAATGCACGTCTGTCTAGTGTGGTGGCCCCTGGGACTGGGAGAGGAAGCCCCCCTCATGGCTCAGGGGCCTCAGTTCCCTGTGCTGAACTGGCCAGCAGGATGGATAGATGAAAGGAGGCAGGAGGTGGATTCTGCTTAAAGTGGGGAGAGAGCCTCATTTGTCCTTGTGTCCTTGTCCTCTTGGCCTGAGCTGTCTCGGTAAGCACCCTGCACACCTGTAGAACCCCATCAGTGTAGAAGCCCCACGTCTGCCCTGCATTCAGGGTGGGTGGGGAGGAACATGGAAGGCATGGACCCCACCATGGAAGGGGTCATCTTATTAGCCTTCTATTGTGTGGCTGCCCCTGAGGTCTGTGGTCCTCGGAGTCCCCCGGCACACACGGGACAGTGAATCAGGATGTCCTGGCGGTGCTTTGAGTCTACACCCACCCCCTCCCAGCCTGGCAGTGCTGATGGGGGTCGCTGCAGCCCACCCCACTGAGGGTCACTGTCCTGGAAGGAGATATCATGCCTCTCAGATGGGCTGGACCAGAAAAAATTGAGAAACTTGGGCACAGGAGTGGCCATCGGGCTGGTGTCACAGGACTCCCAAGCGTGATATGTGGGATACCAGTCAGGACCTTGGGCAACCAGAGCCCAGGGTTGCTTAATTAGAGGTAAAAGAAGTCAGAGAGTAGGGTTGTAAAGAGTTTCTGGAGTGGTTGGGGAAATTTTCTGGAGGATGTAGAGTTTGACCTAGGCCCTGAAAGATGTGGTAGATTCTGGAAGATGGCAAAGGAAGCCCATTCAAACAGGGAGGAATGAGCGGGCACGGGGAAAGGAGGGGCTGGTGAGGATGCAAGACTGACACAGGCAAGAGCGTTGGGAAGGATGGGAGAGTGTTGGAGTCGGTTCTTTGTCCCCCATCCCCCTGTCCATTCGCCCTCTGCCATCCCTCCCTCCCTGCCTTCAATAATCTGTTCGTAAGCCTTTATTTATTGGACAGGGGATATAGCTGTTGTCCCCGTGTGCAGAACTGCTGGTTTCACAAGGGACACAGACAAATGAACACACAGGAATGACCCAGCGTGATGTGTCTTTCAACGGGACAAGTTGCTCTGGGAACCGTGGGGTGCTTAACTTAAACCTGGGGCTCCAAGGAACACTTAAGTGGACATGAAGTCCACGTAGGAGGTAGCCAGATGAAGTGGGCAGAAGAGCGAGACAGAGGGACCAGTGAGCTCCAACCTCACAGGTAAAGAGAGTGTGGTGCCTCCTGCAACCTGCTGGCGTTCAGAAGTGGGGGTGCTGTTGAGCGTGGCTGGGGAGGTGGCCCATCACTGCCTGGGGTCCCGGAGGGGAAAGTTGGTGGTGAGAGGCGAGACCAGAGAGGTCAACAGGAGCTAGAAGATGAGGGGCCTTGGAGGCTGCGTCACGGAGTTTGGACTTCATCCTGAGCGGGTGGGTTTTGAACAGAGTGGCATTCTTAGAAAGCCTTCCCTGGTTGCAGAGCACAGCATACATTCATTGGACGGGGATGTGCAAAACCAGATGCAAGAGATCACTTAGGATGAAGCTGGTGAATCCAGGCAAGAGATGGTGGTGACCCAGACCCAGGAAAGAAGATGGGTGGGTGGGCCTGGGGGAGGTTTAGGAGACAGAGCCCTAAGGCTTGGGGATCAATCCAGGGGAAGGAGAGTCAAGGGTGGTGTGGCGTTTTTGGCTTGGAGATCTGGGTGGATGGTGGGGCTGGATTCTGAGATGACATTTGAAGAGAGCAGGTTTTTGGCGGGGGTGGGGGTGGGATCTTAGAGAATCCAGTTTGGGACAAGCTCGGTGTGGGAGGCCAGGAGGGCACATGGATGAAGTAGCGGTAAGGTTGGAATGTGAGTGTGGGGCTTAGGAGAGATGTTTGGGAGCGGAAAGCCTAGGGGAGGGCTGGGCAGAGGAGCAGCGGGGAGGCTGCCAGGGAGACACAGCCAGCGGAGGGTAGAGAGGGTGGAGGGGCCAGCGGTAAGGAGCTAGACAGACGGCTTTAGGAAGGAGGACGAGGTCAGCTGGCCAGATGCTGCTGAGGTAGGGAGAGAGATAGGCGCCTGTGAGTTTCCTCTGGGTTGGGCTACAAGCAGGTTGTTGTTAATTTTGGAGAGAGAAGTTTCCAGGGAGGGGGTGCAAGGGGCGGAGCGAGTGCACTGGGCAGAGGGCTGTGTGGAAGCGGGGGAGAGGCGGGGGAGAGGCAGGGAATGGAGGCAGCCTTTTTCAGGAAGAGAGAGAGGAGAGGGTGGCAGACTGCAGGAGAGGACACAGAGAGAAGGTGTGGATGAGATACCGTCTTGAGACTGTCTTTAAATGCAAGGAAAAAAAATCCAGCAGATAGGTGGAAAATTGCGCACTGGATGAGACCGGGTTAGGGAGCCAGAGCACGTGGCAGCGTAGATGCGCAGTGATAATGAGAGGTCCTACAGGCGGGGCGGTGCGCACAGTGGGGAGGGGACAGAGGACTTGGTGGCAGCTGGCAGGTGTAGGGGAGCCCCTGCAGAGGCAGGGATTCTGGGGAATGGCAACAAGGTGCAGGGTGCAAGGATGTCCTGGGACCCCTGAGGACGGCATGGTGGATGGAGGTGGCCTTGGGATGAGACTGGGGGCCTTGTGCCTCATAAGCTGCCCTGCGGATGCGCCTCTAACCGCTGTCTCTGCTTGTCTCTCCCTCCTGCCGGCCGGGCCTGGCGCTCCACAGCTGTGTGCACCCGCCGTCTTCCTCCAGGGCCTCCTGCAAACGGTACTGGAGCCCAGTCTTCTCCAGGTTCTTGGTCCCTGTCTTCCTCTGTAAGCAGGTTCCTGTGGTGGGGAGCCTGCGCGTCTGCACAGAGAGAGGAATATCCTCACAGGGGACCTGGAGGAGCCCAGAGGGAAAGCGGGACGTGGAAGTGAGGGACAAAAAGGAACCAAAGGGACACTGCCCAGAGTCTGGGGACCTGGAGAGGAATGTTCTGGGGGAAGTATATTCATGAGTTTTCCTGGGTGATTTCAGGACAACATTGCAGCCCTATGAGAAAGGCTTGGTCTTTCTGCCTCCCCACCCAGGAGCCCGGGGCTGTTCCCTCCCTAACCTCTTCTATTTGTCCCTTTCGTCATGGGCTTTTGGCCCTGGGTCCACTGTGGGTTGGGCATCAGCCTTGAGCAGGCCACCAGCAGGCCTTCAGGCATAACCGTTTTCAAAAAGAGGCGACCCCTGCCGCACAGCTGTTGCAGTAGGTGGCCTTGGAGTGCCAAGTTTGGACGCCAAGCCAGGCGTCCCCAGAGCAGCCAGGCCACCGCGGGCTCTGCCTCCAGCCTCCAGGGGCACCATTCATGTGGACTGTGACGTGCACAGCACCCCCTGGAGTCGTGCCCGTGGCAGCCCTGCTCATCAGTCTTTCTCCTGATGGCGTCCGCTGCTCAGCCAGTCTAAAGATATCATGTCACCTGCATTGTGGGTCTGGAGGAAGACGATGAATTCCTCCACTCTGTGCTCTGGGGACGTAGGGATAGTTCTGAAGCCAGCGTTGTTTTGAGAGGTGCCTCTGATGGCTCAGCTCTGCTCAAGTCCCTGGGGGATCACCAACAACATGAGTGATGGAGACGGCGGCACCGCCGACAATACAGTGATCATTTTAGTCCCTGCTGTTTATGAAGCACCTTCTATGTGCCAGAAACTCTTTATATTTGTTCTCTTGTTAAATTCTCAGACCAATTTTGTAAGAGTTCCGTTATCCCGGATTTTCATGTGAGGGTACTGAGTCACAGAGGTTGAATAATTTGCCCAAGGTCAAATAGCTCAGGAGCTGCAGGGTTAAGACTAGGACCAGGGTCTGGTTTGATTCTAGAAATGAGCTTCTTAACCACCACAGGTCACGAAGCGTAGCATCATCAGTGTGTCGTTGGCAGGAGTGACAGCTGGGATTGGCTGTGAAGTGGTGAGGCGGGAGGAAGCTGGTGTGTCTCAGTCCTCCAGCTGCTCCCACCGTCTACGTCAGAGCATCTGTAGATGGATGCACCATCCTTTGAGAAGGAACCCAGAGCAAGTCACCTGGAGAACGAATCCAATGATTCCATTGCTTATTAATGCAATTACCTGAGGCAAGCTCTGTAAAGCACACAGCACAGCCCTTCTATTTATAGTTAACATTTCCTGAGTGTCAGGGCCTCCATGTATGGGTGTGCAGGTTGTGCACTGCGGAAGAGCACTTGGCTCTAAGGGGGTGCGATTTCCAGTGCAGACATCATGTATTTTAATTTATTATAACAATTTCCAGTAGGTGGCAGTAAAGTGTCTTGTTCTAATAAACTAGTAAACTATGATGATTTTCTGACGTGGAAGTTAAGAGTTTTAAGAAAGGGTCATCCTTCTCTAGTTGTCACAGAGGTGCCATGTGGGCTCCTATTGAGAGTTTACATGAACCAGGCACTCTTCTAAATGTTGTATTAACTTCTCCAAGCCTCACACTAACCTTTAGAGGTTGATAGTTTTGATAATCACTTTATAGATGAAGAAAATTGAGCCACAGAGAAGTGAAATAACTTATTTTACTCAGTAAGTAGTGGAGTCAGGATCCATACCCAGAGCCCGTGTTTCTAACCACTGTCAGACTTGGTAGTTGTCTAATCCACAGTAATACCTGCCTCCATTGCCCCGCCTGCTTCCCTACATATTTCTTCAGGACTCTTGCCCAAGTCTTTTTGGCAAACCCATAGCAGGTAGGGTTGACACAGGCCACGCTCATCTCTGGTCCGTGGTGTGAAGGAGCCTCCCCAGTAGGCCCTTTGGTGCCCGTGGTTGGTGGGCCTTGCTGTCCCCTTCTCCTATTTGTAAATACCCCTCCCGGCCCACAGTGCAAGCATTCTGTTCAGATGTGTCACACCTCAGGACAGGTGTGAGTTTGGGGCTGGAGATGGAACACCAGGGCGGTGGTAAGTTGGGAGGGTCTGAGCCAGGAGGCAGGAGAACCAGGCTAGCAGGAGGGCACGTGGTCCTCTCGGGACTGAGAGGGGCTGAAGTGGACGTGTCAGGTTGGACGGGGCAGTGCATGTGTGTGCATGTGTGTGCACAAGTGTATGTGTGACAGGGACGGGGTCACCCTGAGTAGCTCGTTGGTGGGAGGAGGGGTGCCCCGGGGCTCATTTGAAACAGGATCACCTGAACCCTGGGCCAAGGTGCTAGAATTGTGATCCTGGAGAAGATGGTGCCTGAGAAACTGACTTTGCTCTCTCATTTCTGTCTGCCCGGTTGCCCACTTTTGTGTCCTCGCTGCTCTGTTTCTGTGTCTCTCCACACGTCCTTCTTTCCATCCCGTCTGTCCTCCTTTCTTGTCTTTCCGCCTTGGTCTCCCTCCTGCCTTTGCCTCCATTCTACCTGCTGCCATGCAGTCGGAGGACACGGACCTACCCTATCCGCCACCCCAGAGGGAGGCCAACATCTACATGGTCCCCCAGAACATCAAGCCTGTTCTCCAGCGAACCGCCATCGAGGTGAGCCCGCCCCCGTGGTGGGGTGGGAACTGTGGGCAGCTGGGCCCTTCCTCTTCCTGGCCCAGCCTTTCTGGGGCCTGGGGCCTTCCCAGCTGCTGTCCTCAATCCGTGCCCCCAGATCCTGGCGTGGGGCCTTCGGAACATGAAGAGCTACCAGCTGGCCAGCGTGTCCTCCCCCAGCCTGGTGGTGGAGTGCGGGGGCCAGACCGTGCAGTCCTGTGTCATCAAGAACCTCCGGAAGAACCCCAACTTTGACATCTGCACCCTCTTCATGGAAGTGGTGAGCCCGACCTCCCCGCCGTCCCCTTCCGGAGTCCTGGTGGTTAGAATTTCCTTGCGGCCCCAGGCGGCCTGGGGTCTGGCTCCCTGCGGGATTCTGAGTGGGTCATGGCATCGCTCCCACCTCACTGGAGAATGGGAGGAAATGCTCTCTCCTCCCTGGAGGAGTTGAAGCCTGCGAGCAGTGCAGAGGGGGCCAGCTCGGCCCCTCCTCCTCAGATCCTGAGTCCACGGAACTCCCAAGGACCCATCCGTGGCTGTTTCCCCTCTCAGGGCCGGCCTCAGCCCCCCGGTGCTCCCTGCCAGGGCTCTGAGCTTCCAGGATTCCTCCAAACCTTCCAGGACCTGGTCCTCCCCCAGCCTGGGCCCCCGCAGAGGGGCTCACCCCCGCGGCCCTCAGGCCTCAGCTCCCTCCAGCAACCTGGGTTGCCTGGGCCTAGTGACCAGAGTAAGGCAAGTCTGAGGAAAGGAAAATGGTTTGCAAGATGAAAGTACTATAGAAATTCCAGGCCCAGTGGCTGTCAACAGGAGCCTCCTCTTGGCTGAGCCAAAGCCGCCACCGAAGGAGAGCATATAAATTATTTCAAGTTGTGTTCAAAGTGCTTTTAGGGTTGGGGGGAGAAGAATCTGGGTCTGGAAGCCAACTCTTGAGTATCCACTTGGGGGGGGTCTGTCTGCGAGAAACGTTGAGTCCCAGGCCAACTTCTCCCTTCTTCCCTTCCCCGGCCAGTGAGGGTTCAGGGAAAGTAGACTTGTTTTAACTTTAGGCTGAGCTGGATGTGTTTGGAAGGTAAAACTGTGAGGGAAAAGTCGGCCTCTGCATACAGCATTTAAGAGGCAGACAGAAGGGGCGTGTGGCTTCTGCTCCACTGGCCAGCTCCTGGGCTCGGCAAACCACCCGTTTGGATCGCTGGCTCTTGGGGGTTATGTGTGGGTTGAGAGCATTTACTGCACCTTGGACTTGCCCTGGGAAGAAGGGCTCGCCTTCCTCTGAGACCTCCCAGAGATGGGGTCAGGCTGCTGCCCAGAACTTCCCTCCCCCTCCACCCAGATGCTGCCCAGGGAGGAGCTCTACTGTCCCCCCGTCGTGATCAAGGTAATTGATAATCGCCAGTTTGGCCGCCGGCCTGTGGTGGGCCAGTGTACCATCCGCTCCCTGGAGAGCTTCCTGTGCGACCCTTACTCAGAGGAGAGTCCGTCCCCACAGGGCGGCCCAGGTAGGGGAGGGGCTGTTGACGGGGGCGGGGAGGCAGAGGGGGCTGGGACAGGTGGACTTCCCAGCTTACCGGGCCCTGAATGAGATGACCGGAAGGACGGGTGGGAATCTCGTCTCCCTCAGGGCACCGTCTGGCCCTGGGCTGGGCCCACCAGGAGAGGTTGCGGGGGTGGATGCTGGGGTGGGGTGTGGTGCGGAAAAGGCCGAGGGAGAGGGAGATTCAGGGATCAGTGGGATGAAGAGGGAGCTAGAGGGAGAACTGGGGAGACGGGGAGCGTGACGGGATCCGGGAGAGGGAAGGATGTCTGGGAGGAAGAGGGAGACACGGAGTGAAAAGTGTGGCAAGACAGAGGGCCGAGTCTTGTGTCTCAGGAGGGGTGAGCCCCTGAGGGAGCCCCCTCTCAGGCCTGGACACTGCTCCCCCTACAGATGACGTGAGCTTACTCAGTCCTGGGGAAGATGTGTTGATTGACATCGACGACAAGGAGCCCCTCATCCCCATCCAGGTACGATGGGTCCCCGGGGACAGACACTGGCTCCTTCCAAGAGCTGGCTTGCTTGCCCTCTCCCTGCCCCTTGCCCTCCCTTCCTTATCACACGGCCTCCATAGGACACTCTCTGCAGCCTGGTGGCTGGACACCTTACAGATGGACGGCCCCAGTTAGGAACTTTCAGTCTGGTTGGGAGCAGGTTGGGGGTTGCAGGGGAGACTGTGTGTGGTCTTCTGGTCAAGACCCAATCATTTCCCCCAAAGCATATGTGGAAAATGGCCCCACTACCTGGAGGGCTCTCTCCTGGAAATCACCCAGGAAATCAGGGTGGAAGGAGCGAACGAGAGAGAAGGAGGACAGGGTGGGGAGTGACCGGTAGCCTCTGGGGTGCCCCAGCCCCATCGCCTTACCCAGCTAGGGCCCTCCTTGGGGGGAGATTCATCTATGGGCTTGTGCTCTGTGGCACCTGGCAGGCAGCTTGAAGGAGGGGTGTGTGTCCAAGCCAGTGGTCCCTCTCACCCCATTCCCTCCACCTGCAGGAGAGGAAGGGGGCCAGGAGAGGGGCCTTACTGCAAGGGTGTCCAACCCTGTCGGCAGGTAAGAGGCAGCCCCTGGCTATGTGCTCCACAACAGGGCGAGCTGGTGACCCAGACACCAGTGCCAAACAGCATGGCAAGAGGTCTGTGGCATCTCTTATTGAGGGGGAAAGCGCTCTCTTCACCTTGGGCCCTGGGGTGGCTCAGGGTCCTGTACGGCTGAGACCAGCCAGTCCTTCCTGCAGTGGAGATGGAAAGAGACCTCACTGTGGGCACCAGCCTTGAATAGCTCTGTTCCAAGTTGTCACCCTCTGTTCCAGGTTGTCACCCTCCTCTCAGCTTCTCTTGATTCTGGCCGCACCCCTGGCACTTGGGGCTCCCAGAGCTTCTGGGCTGCCCGGAGGCAGAGCCTCCCAGCCTGTGTAGACAGTACTTGTGCTCAGGCTCACAACCTGTTTGTTCACTGGGGAGGGGGTGGCATTTTGGGAGGGTTTTATTTTTTTCTAAACCATCAGTCAAATATTAGCCTTGAGAGCAAGAGAACAAACCTGGGTGTTGGGTTGGGCTCGGGATCCTCGAGACTCTCCCCGAGATGTGCTTACAGGGGCTTCCCTCTGACATTTAGGGCTGATTTCTGCTTCTTTCTCACGCGCTCATCTCTTTCACCTTTCTGCCACTTCCATGGGGACGTTTCTGGTGTTCAGTCCTGGGCCTTGCTGCTGCTGAGACGAGAGCTTCATAGCTGCTTTATAGTTCTCTGGTGCTAAGCGTCCTCAGAAGCCCCCAGCCCTCCGTTTCTCCCGCCTCTATGGCTCTCCAGGGCCCCACCCCAGCATGCTTTCTGCTGGGAGCACCTTCTGGCCAGCTCCCAGTCATTCTTTAAGACTCAGCCCAGGTGTGGTCATCACCTCCTTCCAGGATTCTGCCTGGCTCCTCCACTTCTTCTGCAAGTCCTGTCTCTATCTTGGTCACTGCGCTTGCCTTAAGTCGTGCAGCATCTTTCCTAGACTAGGCTCAGGGAAGTGACTAGGGCTCATTCCTCTTTGTGTCCCCAGTGACCAGCACAGGGCCTGACTTAGAGGAGGCGTTCGAAGAAAGTCTGCCTGGGTGGATGGGTAGATGGATGGATGGATGGATGGATGGATGGATGGATGGATGAGTGGATGGATGCATAAGTAGATGGGTGGCTGGGTCGATTACCTGCCTACTCTCTGTAGGGGTCTAAGGAGGAGCTTGTCTTGACTGGGGAAACCCAAATGGAAATTGCAAATACACAGAATTCAGCTACACTCAAGGCTAGTACCTTCTGGCCTGGGTGGGTGTTCGTAGCTGAATCAGGCAGCTAATTAGCCCCAAGCTCCGGGCGCCCAGTGCTGGCTCCCGCTTCCCCCACCCCCCGTCAGCGGGCCGTCTGAGTCTGTGCAGGGAAGCGTAGAGCTTGCCCAGCAGGATTTCCGTTCTGTGTGTGCTGCCCTCAAAATGTCTACAGACTCAGATGGGGAGGGACTCTCTTGGGTCCTGCTGGCTACAAGCGCAACCAGAGGCAGACGGTGAGGAGGCCCAGGCTGGACGTCCTTACAGCGTTGACATGAGTGAACCGGGGCCCGGGGTCTGAGCCAGAGCAGGGGCTGCACTCTTGGTGGGAGCATGCGGCTAGAGCTGCTGGCCGGGCAGAGGGCGGGGAGCTGAGGTTCGGGCTGGTGGAGGCATGCCCGCGCGGGGAGGGCCTGGGCTCACAGGACCTCGGAGGTCGGTAGGGAGAGGAGGAAGTGAGATCCGCCTGCTCTGGTGGGGGAGGTTTGGACCCTGCCCTCATCGAGCTCCCTGTCTGATGGAGGAGACATAACCCTATTCTCAAGGAGCCCCGAGGCCCGCAGGGAGATCAGTCCCAGTCTTCGGGAAACCCTGTCCTGATGGGGTCTTCTGGGGGCTTGGGGAAAAAGCAATTTTGTATTGTGCTTTTCTCTGAGATCGTTGATCCGATCTGGCTGGCTCAGGAGATCCTTCCCTCACTGTCTTGCACATCTCCTGTGCAGGACTTGGGAGGACCGGGTATCTTGGGGCTGATCCAGGAGGCTGTGGGTTCCAGATCCAGTGGTTTTCCAGATAGTTCTGGCTGGGCTCTTGTCCCCTCGCCCCTTCCCCAGTGCAGATAGGATAGGGATGAGAAGGAGGGATGAGAAGTCTGGGAGAACTTGGATTTTGCTGGCTCCTGTTTGTGCAGCCCGTGTCTCTAGGCCGCCCGTATTGTTCCCCCCCCCATCATGCGGCCCCTATCGCTGTGCTCACCAGCTCTGGCTGTGGACCCAGCAGAAGGCTCCTCCCCAGCTCCAAATGCTCTCGTGCCACATTCGGCTTCTGTTTAAGTCCCTCCCGTCTCCTTGCTCAGTTGCCTCTTCTCTGCTGAAGAACCTTCTCACCATTGTCCGCCAGTTTCTGGGATGAGCTGCCACACACTAGAAAAAGATACCCCAGACTTTCCTGATGCTTGTGCCATTGGCTGACAACCACGGCCAAGCATTTCTCAGGTTTCTAGAAATGTTTCAGTGTCTGTCAAGAGTGGCCAGTTCTAGAGCTGATCTGAAATGGATGTATGAGGCAGAACTGTCCACTTGGCCTTTTAGGGCTTGTAGATGGGCACCTGTCTCTGGGAGTAGAGAGATGCCTGGCCTCCTGGACTCTTCTCTGTGGCGGGGGGCTGGGCTGAGATCAACTCTCGCATAGCAACCCCACAGTGTATTCTTGGTCTGTGTGGCTGTCTTTGTGTAGATTTTAGAGCCGTAGTCTGGGGATGGTGGTAGTGTGGGTGTGTGCGGTGTGTGTGCACATGGGTGTGCGTGAGAAGTGGGGTGGGGGGCTGGGAGCAGATATGTGCGCAAGCGTAGTGGTGGTGCTGCAAGCATCGTGGCCTTGACACCTAACTTGCTGAGGGCAGGCTGGGGGTTTCCTCTGAGAGGGGCACAGAGGTGTTTCCTTCCGTCTAGTGCTCTGCTTGAGATAAAGGATATATTCATTTTTCTCTGATTATAAATTGTCCATTATATAAAGTTTGGAAAATATAGAAAAATAATGAACAGATAGGTGTTGCCTCCAGCCAGGAGCACGCTGTGAATGAACTGCTCCCAACGTGGCCTCCTCTGTCCTTCCCTTCCCCCCAGGCTGCTCTCTCTGTCTCTGATTCTGCCTCTGAGTATGAATCAGGCTCTACTTTTATGTTTCAAACAAACTTGGGGCCTTTGTCGGCTAGTCTGCTGGTTCTTGGTGTTCTCATGATGGAAATGGGAAGAGAAGCAGTGCAGGAACACACCCAGAGTGGGCTTCCCACCATTTCCTAGGGGGTCTTGAGGCTCATGTAGAGGTGGCACCCCCTGCCCATCCCACGCATCACCTACCTTCAGGTCAAGGGTGACGCTTGCCTATCATTCTGAGAGATCACCCTGGGTAGGGGTCTCCTCTTGAAGTCAGGCCGTGGGGTGGAGAACATGTGTGTGTTGAGGAGGGATAAAGAGGAAGAGCGCTCTCGGGAAGTCTTCCCTCTGGCTGACAGAGGAGGGCTATGTTGCAGATCCAAATGAGATGAACAGAGTGATAGCAAAGCAATGAATGCTTGATTAGCAAGGACACCAAGATCTTGGACTCTGGGCCCTACAAGGTCAGCGTGGGCTAAGTCATCAGGAAAGCTTCTCCCAGGGGGCTGGCGAGAGGGGTTAGAACAGCAGAGGGGAGAGGAGGCCTTTCCTGGTGGGCAGAGGAGCTGGGGCAAAGGCTTGGTGGTGGGAGGTGTGTGTGTGTGTGTGTGTGTGTGTGTGTGTGTGTGTGTTGACAGCATGTGTGTTGATTGCATGTGTTTGATGGTGTACTGTGTGTGTGTGTGTTGACAGCATGTGTGTTGATCGCATGTGTTTGATGGTGTAATGTGTGTGTGTGTTGACAGCATGTGTGTTGATCGCATGTGTTTGATGGTATAATGTGTATGTGTGTGTTGACAGCATGTGTTGATTGCATGTGTTTGATGGTGTAATGTGTGTGTGTGTTGACAGCATGTGTGTTGATTGCATGTGTTTGATGGTGCACCGAGTGTGTGTGTGTGTGTGTGTGTGTGTGTGTGTCTGATGGGCCTGGGAGGCTGTAGGGGAAACTCAGGCTAGCGTGCAGGAGGCATCAGGAGGCCTGCTCCCCGCACCCGTGGGGTGGGGTGGGGTGGGGTGCTGGGGCCAGCTGCTCCCTGGCTCCCAGCTCGGGCTAATTTTGAGCCACCTGCTCCGGTTTTAGTCTCTGGGACGCCGTGAAGGTGGGAACGTGCTCCCAGAACTGGAGTGGCAAATTATGTCCAAATCCCAAAGGGGAACATGTAATTTCGGAAGCTGGCCCAGACCTTTGGAGCACTATGTTTAGCTTTATTTTTTCTCCCTCTTGCACTGGTGAACTGCCGGTTTCCCTCTCACCTTTCTAAAAACGAACTGTATTAAAAATAACAATAAGGCTTCTGTGAGGTTCAGGATGAGAACAAGAGGGGCAGAGCTACTGCCTGGCTGGGCCAGTCTCTGGGCAGCTGGGGGCTTCACGTGGAGTTCATCTGGTCGATTCCAAGGGCTTGGCCTCCTGGGGAGTCTCCCAGAGCCCCCTGCCCCAGTCTCAAAGGAAGAGAGGGTCCCGCTGGTCTGCTCATGCCTCCACCATATCCCCCAAGCCTGCCTTCCTGGACCGTTTGCTCTCTCTTAAACTGGCAGTGCTGCTTTATTCCTCTACCCTTCACACTTGCTGTCTCTCTGCCTAGAAGGCATCTCCTGGCCTCATCCACCTAGACTGGTACTCGTCCACCCACAGCTCCATCACCACCTCTGGTACTATTGTAGTGGCCCCTGAAAAAGTCACCCTACCTTCAGTCCTGACCCCAACAAGGCCCTCCTGGACCCTGCACCCTATAAATTATGGATTCACTGTACTAGGAGATTGCAGGCAAGGATCTGATGCCAGAAAAGAATGCAACAAGGTTTCTGTAGTATAGGGGTGGTGTGTTTATGAGACTCTTAAAGCTCCCCTGGTTTTGGGGAAGCCACATGATGCCCTGGTTTTTGTCCTTGAGGACAGAAGACTCAGAAACCTGCATTGGTTTAGGAATAGTGCCCAAGCAGGGGTTGGTGTGACTCAGTTGTTAGAAGAAACCACCAGGGATGATGGGGAGCTTGGAGTATGTCTGAGGTCAGGAAGTTTGAAAGGCAGGGAGGGCATGTGAGAGTGGCATGGAGTCAGTGGTGCCAAGGGCAGTGAGAAAGCAGGCATGAGACAGGTATTGGCTGAGCCCCTCCCACGTGCCTCACCTTGTCCTAGGTGTGCATGGCCTTCACGTCATCCATACTCGCTGCTGCTCTGTGACAACACATGGCTTTGTTCCCATTCTCCAGATGGAGATGCTGACTCAGAGAGGTCAGGGGGCTTGTCCAAGGTCACATAGCTGGTAAAGCAATGAGGCCAGGATTTGGAGCCACACTTGTCCAACTCCAAAGCACACGTTTCTCCCACAACTTTTGCAGCCTCCCTGGAGAGAGAGCACAGGGTGCCTGGTTGGAGAGCTCTACTTCCTCGGGATCATGCAGTTTTCCCTGGTTTCTCTAATCCTGTTGCTAACCAGCGTGTTTAATTTGTAGCTTGCAGATGGTCTGTCGGGCTTCGCCCCCACTAACATGGCGTCTTCTCCATCCAGTCGTCATGTATGTATTGTTTACCTATTTGTGGGCACCTTGATTTTCCCGGGGGGGCTGAGTGGGGGTAAGGAGTTAGGAAGGGAACAGAGGAGGTGGGGATGGGAGGGGAAGAAAGGAGTTTTCTGAGCCCTGGCAGAAAACAGTTACCTGTCCTGTGTGGTGATGGAGGGGTAGGGAGAAAACTGAGGGAAGATTTGCAGAAACAGACATCCCTGAATTATCTCTCAGTGCATCCTGGGATTTACCTTAATCCTGTTTCCCTGCATGGGGTAGCATGGGCCAGTGGAAACAGGGAAGTCTCTAGACCCTGACCGCTGGGACGTGGGACACAAGAGGCCTCTGTGGGCAAAGGCAGATTGATTTTCTCTACTCCTCCCAGAGGCATGAAACGTGTGTGACTGCGGAAACCTGGCTGTCCCCAGCAGATTCTGAGAGCTCTGCTGGGGCCCACAGTTCACTCCTGCATTTGCCAGGAGGGATACTTCTGTCCTCCTGGGCTGATTCCTTAGGTATTATCTTTATGGGTCGAGGGTCCTTCAACATGCACTCATGAAGTCAAGGGGAGCCCCAGACTTGTAGGGGGGACATAAGAGATAGGACTTGCTGAAAGTTAAACTCCATTCATGGTGCCAAGAGGAGGCATTGCTGTGTTGGGTGTTTTATGGCTTCTAGGCAGAGGCACTCTACATTTTAAATGTTTTCTGATTTATCTATTGTAGAAAATATAGAAAACACAAAAAAGTGTAAGGCAGAAAGTTAAAACCACCTGTGTTCCTACCAGTTGGAGATAAGCACTGTTAAGACTTTGATGTGCCTACATTTTTAGATATCTCTTATGCACATGTGCATACTTTTATTTTTTTACAAAATCAAGATCTTATTGTACTTTTTAAAAAATCTGCATTTTCTTGTACTTAAAATGTAGTATAAATGTTTTTCCATGTCTTTATATTCTTTAAAAAATGGTTGCATGTCATGCTGTTGTATGGACATCCATAAACTATCCCCCTATCATTGGACATTTTATTTCTTAATTTCCACTATTGTCTTATTTTTTGTCCCTTAGAGGAGTTATTTTTAGTTTACTTTAAATAGGTCTAGTCCATTTCTTGTTAAGTTTATTCCTAGGCATTTTATAGTGTTTGTTGCTGTCTGAATGGAATATCTTTTTTTTTCTTAGGACTTTGTATAACTAGCTATTGCTAGAATATAGAAAAAGAATATTTTTGTATATTTACTTTGAAACAAACTCTTTGTTAAGTACCTTTATTACTTCTGACAGTGGTTAATTGATTCGGTTGAGTTTTTCAGGTAGATAAGATTGTCTTCTTCAAACAATAATAAACATGTCATTTTCTAATAGCTATACCTTATTCCTTTTTCCAGAATGACATTTGATAACGGAGTTGCTAGCGAGCAAACTTATTTAGTTACTGATTCTAATGAGAAGGTCTCTGTCATTTTTCCATTATGATAATGGTTGGTAGTTTCGGATAGATATTCTTGATTTTGCCAGGTTGTGTCCTGTATTATTAGTTTATTAATAACTTAAAAATTAGATATGGAAGTTTAATATTGGGCTGGCCAGAAAGTTCGTTCGGGTTTTCCCATAACATCTTATGGCCAGCCGATATTATCCAATGGCATTTGGCATTTATCAAGATGATCATTTTGTTTTCCATTGTCCGTTTTATATATATATATTTTATTTATATATATATATATATATATATATATATATATATATATATACACACACACACACACTCATATATATGTATGTATACTTGTCCTGCATTCCTGGGGTAAACCCAAATGAGTCAATTGGTCATGGTATTATAGTTGACTACAATTGAAGTCCTCTTATGCAGTCCATCAAGATAGGTAGTTGGTTGGCTAATTAAAGTCGGTTAAAGAGGGACTCATTAAAAGTCAAATATAAGTACCACGACCATTTCTTTTTAATCATATCCATGTATCTTCATTTGACAATCATTTGACATGTGCCAAGACCTCTTTGAATTTGGATCTGCTATTCAAATGTCATGTTGTCTTTCCAGTATAAACCACATTCATAATGCATTAGGTATGATTTTTCCTTTAGGTTTATTAAAGTTTGATGAGCTCTTAATGATAGCTGCAAAAGACTCTGAACATGGAGTTCTTTTTAGCATTTCAGATCCCCCTCACCTTTTTGTCCACCTCACTCATACTTAATTTTCATAATTAAAAAAAATCAACATTAAGTTCATTTTCATAGATAAAATGCCTTTTCTTTTTAAATTCAAATTTTATATATTTTTATAATATTTACTTATTGATCTAATTACTGTATTAGTACAACTGGCATAAACAGATTTGGGAACAAACAATTAACTCTTGGTAAACATACAGCTCATCTGCTGGGAGCTGCAGTGGATAAATTAGATTAGCTGCAGGCTTGCATCTGCTCTGGACCTTAGATCGTTAGCAGAGAGAATGGGTAGCATTTGTTAATCCTGGTTAAGGGGAAGTTTGTAAGGATAACTTCTAGTATATATTACTGAGTTAGATTTGTTATTATTTATATGGGATTTTTGCATCTTTATTAATAAGTATTACTTTTAGGTTGTCTTTGTTAGGTTTTGATATCAAGGTTATAATAGTTTTATAAAATATTTTTTGAAGTGTACTCTCATTTCCTGTGCTCTTGAACAGTCTCTGTGGCAGGAGAATGATTGTTTAAAGGTTTGAAAATACATGAGAGCCATTCTTTATGAATATGAATTATGCAAGTTGAAAATTACATGATATAAACATTTTAATAGTCTTGCTTTATGTATAAAATGTGTAATACTGTGAATCAATCTACATTTAAAAAATGATTAAGAGTCATGAAATTTAAAAGGTGGTGGCCAAATGAATTGTATTTATGATTTAGCTGGTAAACAGGATACCCATCATCTTTTTTTGAAAATGGTGTTATATGATGTGAGTTTTGAATTTTAGAAGATCTTCAGGAATGCATACCTTATACAATTGTATAAGATGCATCTGCTCTGTACTCATTTGTAAGACTGGGCCTAGCACCATCTTTGGGAGGGGATTCTTTGATCATTTTCTACTTCTTCAATCAATTTAGTGCCTTAGATGTCTTCAGATATTGCTTATTACATTAGTATAGATTTATACATATTACTATAATAAAAGAAAATCCTTCTGTATCTGTTCTGTTTTTTATCCTCATTTCTAATTTTGTAATTTATGTTTATTGTTTGTTTGTTTTTTTAACTTCATTAGGCTTAATAGCATTTCATCAATTTTATGGTTGTTTTTCATCCAAAGAACCAGCTCTTTAAATTTTTTTGATTCTTCTGTGTACTTTTTTTCCGTGTTTTTTTTTTTTGGCGGTACGCGGGCCTCTCACTGCTGTGGCCTCTCCCGCCGCGGAGCACAAACTCCGGACACGCAGGCCCAGTGGCCATGGCTCACGAATGCAGCCGCTCTGCGGCATGCGGGATCCTCCCGGATCGGGACACGAATCCGCGTCCCCCACACCGGCAGGTAGACTCCCAACCACTGCGCCGCCACCAGGGAAGCCCTTCTGTGTACTTTTAATTTCTTTTTCTTTTTTATTATTTCCTTTTCTTGTCTGATTGCACTGACTGGGACCACAAGTTTAATATTCCATGTAACTGATAATAGTATTCTTATCTGCTCTAATTTAAAATGGAATATATTTTTTGAATTTTATTTTATTTATTTTATACAGCAGGTTCTTATTAGTTATCTATTTTATATATATTAGTGTATATATTTCAGTCCTAATCTCCCAATTCATCCCACCACCACCACCTCCCCCCCTCCCAACTTTCCTCCCTTGGTGTCCATGTTTGCTCTCTACATCTGTGTCTCTATTTCTGCCCTGCAAACTGGTTCATCTGTACCATTTTTCTGGATTCCACATGTATGCGTTAATATACAATATTTGTTTTTCTCTTTCTGACTTAGTTCACTGTGTATGACAGTCTCTAGGTCCATCCACATCTCTACAAATGACCCAATTTCATTCCTTTTTATGGCTGAGTAATGTTCCATTGTATATATGTACCACATCTTCTTTATCCATAAAATAGAATATTTTTATGTTCCACCACTGAGTATGAAATTTATCAGGTGAGTGATTACTAGCTAGCTAGGAGTTTTTATCATGAATGATGTTAAATTTTATTCAGTGTTCTTTATGGATCTGTTGAGGTGATCATATGATTTTTCTCCTTTAATCTGTTAATGTGGTGAATTACATTAATAGATTTTTTTTTTTTAGATGTTGGGGGTAGGAGGTTATTAATTAATTTATTTATTTTTGCTGTATTGGGTCTTCGTTTCTGTGTGAGGGCTTTCTCTAGTTGTGGCAAGCGGGGGCCACTCTTCATCGCGGTGCGCGGGTCTCTCACTATCGCGGCCTCTTTTGTTGTGGAGCACAGGCTCCAGACGCGCAGGCTCAGTAGTTGTGGCTCACGGGCCTAGTCGCTCCGCGGCATGTGGGATCCTCCCAGACCAGGGCTCGAACCCATGTCCCCCACATTAGCGGCAGATTCTCAACCACTGCGCAACCAGGGAAGCCCCCATTAATAGATTTTTTAAAATGCTGAAACAACTTTGCAGTTCTGAAACTGTCTATCCTGGTCATGTTACATTGTCTTTTTTCTGCATTGTTGGGTTCAGTTTGCAAATGTTTACTTTCGGAATTTTTTTACATCAATCTTTATGAGTGATAATGGCCTGGAGTTTCTTTTTCTGATACTGTTCTTTTCAGGTTTTGGTATCTAGGTAATATTAATCTTATAAAATGACTTGGGGCATATTTTCTCTTTTTCTAGTCTCTGAATAAATGATAAAAGCTTGACATTATCTGTTGCCTGAAGGTTTGGTAGATTCATTTGTAAAACTGTCTAGACTTAGCATTCTTCTTGGGGATATTTTAAACTGCTGATAAAAATTTTAAAAATGTTTATAGGACCTTT